CGGGCCTTGCTCCGCTCCCCGCAGGGCCCGCAGCTGCCGCCTCCGCGCCGCCCCCGCCTCTGGGCGAGCCCGGGTGGGAGTGCGAGAAGGCTGGTGGAGGGATTTGTCCTCCAAAGAGGGCGAATGGGCCCCTGCTCCCTCGGCCGCCCGTTTACAGCCCCGTCCAACTATTTAATCTCGCCCCCGAAGGGAGCTTGGCCCGTAAAACCTGAACGGCTCCGTCGCTGTGCTTCCACACACGGGTCTCTGCCAGCAACCCTCCCAACTGGCAAAGCTCGTCTTAAAAACACAACCACTGTAATCCCACTTAAGTTATCATTATGCTGCACACAAAAATAGGAGTAGGTTGTTGTTTTGTTTTTTTTTTTTCCTGCTAATTGATGCAAATAAGCACAAAACGTTTACAAATGAGCACAAAATATTCAGAAGCCTTAGACGTTTTGTAAAGTGCTAGGTCTAAAGCTGTTCCAGCAATGCTTCACTATGCTCAGCTGCTAAGTTGTCTTGGGTACAGGACTCCCACACTGATGTGTGAAATGCAACTTCTGTTTCCTACCGTATTGTTTGGACTGTCACAGTGAACAATGTGCAGCATGGCAGAGCACCACCGAGGCAGAGGTACCGTGAGGCTTCTCTGAGGAGCCAGAACTACCCCAATTCCTCAGAACCCTGAGGTTTGAAGCACACTGTGCTATAAGGAGTGTTGGAAATGACCTCATTCCCATGGGAATCGGTACAACAACACCCTTTAGTAAAATCAGTACTGGGAAAAACCATGATGGAAAGAAGCTTGGCATCACCAACAGCCACCACTGGAGGAATCAAAGCCTGTAGCATTAACTAAAATGGCTGCATATTTGAAGAGTCACCAAAACCAGGTATCTTGTTTCCCCATAGAAGGGAGATACTTCCACAGAAAGCTGTGCTTGAATATAAGGGAAAGAATATAGCATAGAAGTAATACAGTGCACATTTTATTGCAGAAAAGTCACATTTTCATCAGTTAAATAAGGTAAAAGGAGTAACTTCAGCCAGACAAATCCACTTATTCATAAAAGTAGTCTTATTTAAGGTGTAACAATTTTCCTGAAAAGATGGTCTGATTGACTGAAGGACTTCCAGCTATTCATTTTTTTACTGCACCAATAATCAGATTTAAAAAAACAAAATAAAACCTTTGGTAAAGTACAGACACAGTTTTAAGTTGAACAGGTTCAATGTTCTATTCTTACTGTGCTGGGAAAAGTAAGTACAGCTCTATAACTGCTGTGATACCTAGAACAGGTTTAATTAGAGTAAGTGAAAGAATTTTAAAACAAACTTTTAAAGCAAATCTAAAAGAAAAACTAAGGTCAATGTCCCAAACATATTTAACAATATGCAGAAGTCTGGTTGTTCCACAGGAATTCTGAATTAGCAACAGTGAATTAGTCCACACTTCCTTTGTCCAGCCACTATAGATTCCAAAATGGAATGCAATTTTTTCAAACCAAGACTTCTGAATTTTCATATCCATACAATATTTAAGAAATGTCTATTCCACCATATAAAAAAAAAAAAGCTTTAATGTACTACAAAGTTAAAAACAAAAAGAAAACGACACAAGCTAAAAGTAGAAAAATACATTGTAAAACATTTATATTTTGTTCCTTACACTGATCAAGATATAACAAAATATTTTAGATTCGACCACTTTCATCAATTCATGGCATGTTCAGAAGTAGACAGTTAATGACTCAACAGCCACTGGTTACCCACTAGGCCAGCATTCAGTAAAGACCTCTGACCGTGGCAAACATCCAGTATATTTTAAGATTGTAGAAATCCCTGTGTAGACATTAAGCTTTATCACTAGAAGAGTCCAAAAGTAACAGAACTATTCTAAGTTAGGTCTGACAGTCAGTCAGCACCCCTCCTCTGTACAGCAACCAGCCAATCTTTTATTAGGGAAGACCTTGTGGATTTAGGTTGCCCCAAAGTTACAAGAAGGACTTTTTCCAGCTCTTGAGACTAATGGGACAGTCCCAGTACACTCCTCCACTTTTGTTGCCTTCTCACTAGCATCCTTAAAATTCACATGAGCCATGAGCCTGAAAATAACAGAGATGATGGGGAAAAAGAGGTATTACCTAATAAATACAGAAAGAGAACACACGTGCACGTGAAGGTGCTGAACCCCGTCTAGGCCCTCGCTGAGATGCTCTCCTCCCGCCGCCCGGCAGAGGCGAGTGCTGAGGCAGGCCTGCCTCTGACCAGCGGGTGGCGCTCAGCTCTCGGCGGTGACAGCGACATTCACCGAGGGCACCTCCCGAGGCTTACCAAAAAAAACTGTTTCATTTGGAAAATGTATTCGCAGCATCTCCCTAATGCCGTTCCCACTGGAGCAGGAAAATGCTACTTTTACACAGCTTGTCTGGATTGGAAATAAGGTTGCAAATACAGTGTAAACATGTTAGTGGAAGGTCTGGATGGAACAGGAGAAGCTGGGATGGCTGTTAAGAAGCACTCTCTTTATGCTGGTATTAGGAGAAAAACCAGATTCCACTTCAAATAGACATGTCTGTTACTATTAAAATCCAGTTCATATACATGCATGTATAAATACATCCACCCATGCATTCAAACCCCAGTATGCAGCACTGCCACTGGTAGCCTGTAAGACTGCTGAGATTTATACCAACTAAACCAGATTTGTGTTCTCGCTTCAGGGCTGGGACATAAACCAGGTTTTACATTCTGGCTTTCTCCTGGCAGATTCTGCAGTGCATGACAGTGTTATGTCTAACTCCAGATGCCACGTTTCCTAGAAAGCAACAATTTTCTGCACCCGTGAGGTCTATAATAATATCAGCTCTCTGTTTTGTGCACAACCTGTTGCAAGAGCCAATTGTCCCAACTGGCACTTAAGACAAAGGAGAGTTGCAGGGATTGCTACTAAAGTGTGATGACTGTTCCATCCTCCTCGATACCTCCTCTGGGGATAACCAGGCTGTGTCGGGGATCAGTTTTTAAGGAACTGAGCAATTTGTGGATGTTGCCGTTGCTTTCTCGGCCGGAGTTGTTGTTGAGCACCAGGTCCCTTTGGAGTCTGTGGCTAAGGCTGCTGCCATTGATTCGGGAGAGGCTACTGGAAGTAAGGCTGTGCAGTTTAGGAATGTGCTGCGGCTCCAGACCGCCCTCGATGACAATGTCGGCCTCTTCATCACTCTCCATTTCATCAGGGTGGAAGTTCTGCAGCACGTGGGATGTAGGCAAGCTGTGGTGGCTCGCAGTGCTGTCTGTAGACTGGCCAGAGCTACCAGACATCCGACTGCTTCGAATAATATTGTTCCTCTGGTTTGCCGGCTTGACCGTGATGATGAGATTATGGCTGTTGGCAATCATCATGTCTGTGACTTGGTCGAGAGTCTTTCCGGCTACTTCAATGCCGTTAACTTCCAGGACTTCATCGTTCACCGCCAGCAAGCCCGTGCTCTCCGCCAGGCCCCCAGGAACCATGCGGGAGATGAAGATGCCGGGTACCTTCTCCAGCCCGTGCGGAGTGACCCTGACGCTGGTGCCGTCGCGGATGTAGAACCCCAGGGGCTTCTCGCAGCCGTGCCGGTACAGCCGCACCCTGCGGTGCGTCTCGGGCAGGATGTCCACGTCGATGATGGAAGACACGGGTCTGAAGTCGTGAGGCATGCTGATGTTGATGTGAGGACGCCGGCGGAGGTTGTCATTGCGGAGCGTCACCAGAGCCTTCTTCTTCCGTGACAGTGTGTTGGTCCCAAAGTTGCTGTAATCCACTTCGTCTGAAAGAGAAACGGCAATTGTATCAATCAGAGAATGATCCAAGTCCACAGGGCATTGTCCTCCTAGGTCTGGTTCAGTGACACCACGCTCCTAATAATACAGAAAAACCCAAATTCATTATTTCACTTACTCTAGCCTTTGCTTCATTTTATGTCCATCAGCAGATCATTCAGAACGAATGGGCAGTTTTCAGTGACTGCACATTTCTTCCATATTTTATTTTTTCTTCCTTTTTTTTTTTTGTAAGGGCTTTATGCTTATATACATCTTTTCATACAGCATTTTTCTCTTTGGAATACTTTATTTGATTTCACCTAAATTCGAGAGCAATAAGAGTGCCAAAAGCGCCAAGTACCAAAAAAGCCCTGTGGAAGCAAGAGGCCCAGTAGAAAGAGAAGCAGGGAGAAAAACTTCTTTGCTGCCTTGTCCCTGTGCTAGGAACCACAGAACAGACACAGCCTCACATAAACACTCCTGCCCTTGAGAGGAAGACCCACAGGCAAGCAGCCTTTCTAGAATCTCCTGTTTAAGGAATTAAGCATTTCAGTCTGTAGCAGTATCTCAAGGGCATGTACAAAGTGATCAACTTTACATCAGCCAAGTAATATGGCAATTTATGCCATATAAGCTCATGTTTGTGCTTTGCATAAAAAAACCACTCAAGTCATGAAGTTGTTAGTGTACAAAACGTGTCACACTGCATTTCACGTTAAAAATACTGTGAATATTTTAAACATGAAGCATGCACTAGCTGGGAAATTATTTCATGGGGAGTTTAAACATGCTAACACTTCTCACACAAAGTAACAGGTTTTCAGTTTATTTTACTGTTGAAGACAAGCAGTAAAATAAAAAACTACAATTATAGAACTGCCACTAAAAATTCTCTCCAACAAATTAACCTTGCATAGTAACATTTGAGAAAGTAAGACAGTAAATTCCACATGATAAATGTTGAAAAAAACCCACAAGTGTTAGTAAAAACAAGCTTATAATCATGTTTTTATTTCTTGCAAGGTCTCATTTTCAAGTCAGCTTTTAAGGCATATCATTGAAACACTTCAATTAAATGACATTAAGTCACACAACTCAAAGGACACTAAAAAAAATACTGCTACACAGCAACCTGATCTAACTGGGCCTGCCTGGAGCAGGGTGTCGGATTCGCTGGCCTCCAGAGCCCCTCTTTCAGCCCAAATTATTCTGTGATCCTACATAGGCCTACGTAGACCTTTGGCATAGAAAAAAAAAAAAATTAAAATTTCAGAAATACCATTTCTGCATTCTTCTATAACTATTTATATTTGCTATACTAACCCTGAGGATATCACAAGGCACCTAGAAGGTCATCCCAAAGGAAAAGCTTCTGTGGAATAAAGATACTCCTTGGTCAAGTTTGTCATGCTAAAGTTCACACTCTCCTCTCTCCTCCCAGACTGTTGAGAGCTGTAACAACTACAGAGGCCCTACTGTGTTACTTACACTGGTGAGGCACAGGACTCTAAGTCCTTAAAACCAACCAAACACAGGAAGCTCCCAACTAGTTCCTGGGAGCATACTCACAGCCAAGACAGTGACTGTATGGAGATGGCACCTTCTCAAGTCCACCAGGTGAGCAGAGTCAGTGCAGAGTCTGCTCTTTTGAATGCACAAAGCACCTGCAGCAGCCAAAGCCAGGTATTGTTCCTTTACTTTCATCACCAGGACCACCATCTACATTCACCTAAAGATTTGATGGATGATTTTGAAGGCAACAAGTATTTTTAACTTGTAAAATAAGGGTACAAGAAAGAAGTCATTCATCCCTCCCAGTCTCAGAATACTGCATTGTCCTCTCCCTCACAGTTCACTGATGAAATTCTGACAGTCCTATGAAAACAACTTGGGGATTCATATTTAGAATCAAAGTTCTTCCTAACTTAAAAAACATAGCACCGTAAAACAGTAGCACTGTACCTTAAAACCCAAGACAACCTTTATCCCAAAATTTTAGTTTAAGATGGCAATTAAAATTACATGTATGTTTATGTGTTTAAGATTGTCTCTTGCAGTAATGACAATCCAAACTCAAATCAAAAAGTGCATCCTTTGAAGACTCACAAAATTAGGTTGGTGAGTGTGGTTTATTACCCTGCAAGTAAAATGAAGCATGCCCTTGTTTCCATTCCCCATTCCATCCATTCCCCAGAAGCACCCAGGTAGTACAGTATTAATATATTAATACTGAATTGCTTTCAGGAAGACTTGCAAAAGCTTTACCAAATAATTCACCTGTGAAGATCTGCTGACAACACTACTTTCTTCCCCTTAAATTAACAACGACCTGGAGAACTAATTGTCACAACGTGCAAGTTTGGAATGATCAGGTAGTAATGTCACAGGAGAAGTACAACGGTCCTCCTGACACACAGAGGTCATTTCTGAGGCAGCCTCCTTTGGCTGAACCACCACCAGGGCAATGGCACACAAGAAGTGGTGGTTTTGTGCCTGTGACCTCCTCACCTGCGCTCAGCTCACTAATCTGTCTCTCCAGATGACTGCCAGCATACCTAACCTCTGAGCAGCTTCAAAACAACCACCTCCTTTAATAACAAAAAGCCCAGCTTACCACAAAAATGCTATTTTTTCCCCTCCAAATATGAACCAGGCAGAAGCAGGGTTTACATTACAAGTGATATAGGCTACTTGCAGTGTTGGACCACTGACTACTCCTGGATTTAGCACTTGAAGGCTGGATCACATTTAAAAAATGAAGTCCATGTCCTGCTGACAACTGGAATTTTTGTATTTAAAACAGTGCTAGGCATTAGTTTCCAACTCTGACCCTAAACAGGACAACATATGAGAAAGATGAAGTACCAATTTTAGCAGGTAAAACTGTTAAAGCCTATTATAAGCTGGAAAAATGATAGCTAACTTAGAGAGCTTTTAAGAAAAAATGTCAATTATCTCCATTTTCTAGAAAAAGAATCAAGTATGGAATACATGTTCCTTGACAATACAGGGATGACTACTTATATTCAAGAGGACCACTCACTAGCAGTTACACTTACTTGAGATACCACCTTAAAATAAATTAAAAAAAAAAATTAAAATAAACCCCACTACAGGACAAAAACAGCTCCCTCTGATGCTACCTGGAGCCACTATTCTTGCTGCAGGAATAAAGCAAAGTTAAACATCAGCTGTTGGTGTGGCAGCAGAAAGTTATCAATCCCTAACACAATGAAAAAAAATTTCTTTCTTCATGAGGGAGCTGGGAGAGGTCAGCCAACACTGCTCACTTATCAGCTACAGGGTGGTCACAGAGTGGTGCGTTACCCACCTCCAGTAATAAACTGCTCAGGTGGCACATGCCAGACTGAAATGAAAATTGTAACATTGCATAATTTACACTGACACACTCTTAATGAACGTCAGCATCTTCTTGTTACATTCTGAGCGTCTCCCCATATTGGATTTCAAGCATGACTGCCACTTCAGCTAATGAAACGGGCTGTGCCTGATGCCAGGTCCAGTGAAGACCAGTATATCCCATATGGAACCAGACAGAGCTCAGTTTTCACCTCTCATTTGTTGCAATATCAAATTCTCCTTCGTCAGAGTAAAAAGCCTACAGAAATCTGCATGCAGACTGGCAGCAGAAGCACCATCAAGTGGCACAACTGAACAGTGCTTAAAGCCTCCTGTTTTACTGGGTGTCATGTTTTCCTACAGCCTGAATGGGGCCAGAGTGAAATGTTACACGTGGGGGACTGAGGGAGAATTAGTCCTTTAGGTGCTCAATGTGACCCCCCGTTTCTCAGAATGATGAGGCAGATTACAGGGAGCACTTCCATGTGCAAGATGTAGTGCTTTCAGACAGAGAGGTACTATGAACTGGATGAATAATCCTGGATAACCACTGAATTTTGGAAGACTTGGACCTGACTTTTACTTGTGCCCATAATTAACTTCCTACTGAAAATACTGTTCCAGTAAGAAGAGGCAAAGAAGAACATTTACCACAACTGGAGAAGGACTCCTCGAGCTTTCCAGTTCTCTTCTACTTGAAACTGCAACCCAAAGCTACACAAAAAAAAATACCTCAAACTCTTCCGTAGGCACAGAATATTAGTGCAGCTCTTTTCCCAAAAATAAATCTTCAGGCTTTGGTACATTTTAAGAATGAGAATGAATTATATAAAAACTTAAGTACTTTGGTTGCATAGTTTCCACCCTTTCTGTGCCCCTTGTGTGGTTTTTTGTTTGTTTGTTTGTTTGTGGCTTTTTTGTTTTGGTTTGGTTTTTTTTAAATATATGTCACAACCTACTTGCCCATGAGGACCTTTTTTTAGAGAAGACATATGGCAGAAATCTCTTCATGCAGATATACCTGTGCTCACTTTCTTGACAACGATGGCAGCTTTATTAGGGAGCGTGGACTGCATAATTTTTAAATTTTATTATTAAAAAAACCCTAACCCAAACAACAACAAAAAAAAACAAACACCAAAAAACAACTAGTGGAACTACCTCCACTTGTTCAGCAAAAGTAAGACCCATTGAAGGAGTATTTAACTTTCAAGCATGGATATTTTACTATCAGAATATTATTTTTTAAAAAAACATACCTAGACAGTTATAGATGGTAACATCTTTGAGATATTCTAACAATTCTGTAGCCAGCCTGTGACTTTACAGAATACACTGCCCCTTCCTGGTGGGCATCATGAATCCTATGGTTAAGTCACGCAGGACATAAGAGCAGACAATACTTAAAGAGTTATTTATAAGGGAAAGGAAACTGCTTAGAGCATCTGGCTGTAGCCAAAGGAGTATTGTATTTCTTTAATTTACATGAAACTAGGAATTATAGACCTTCTGAAAAAAAAACACCAGGAGCACCACTCCCACTGCTTGGACAGCTGCTTTTCATAGGAACTGCCTGCCAGATGAAATACCAAAGCTTAGCCAGATAAGATTGTATAAACAGGCCGAATTCCATGGAGGAGCAGACTGCCAGGCTCCTATAGGAGCAGCTCGTCTCAGGCTCTGCGTCCTCAGCGTACATGCACTCATGGCTTATTATTTCCTCTGGGAACTGTGGA